CAGTAACGCCACTCGTCACTGCACACCTGGATCTGCACAGGTGAGACAGGTGACACCCTCAAGGGTGTCTCCAGGTGTGTCCCAGGTGTACCCCAGGTGTCCCCAGGTGTGTCCAGGTGTCCCCAGCTGTCCCCAGGTGTGTTCCAGGTGTCCCAGGTGTCCCCAGGTGTGTTCCCAGGTGTGTCCCAGGTGTCCCCAGGTGTGTCCCCAGGTGTCCCCAGGTTCCCCAGGTGTGCCCAGCTGTCCCCAGGTGTCCCAGGTGTGCTCACCGGGGGGAAGTCGCTCAGTTTCTGGAAGGCGCGGATGTAGAGCTCGTGCTGGGGGGAGGGGACGGCGTCAGCTCCCGGGAAAAGCCAAAATCCCGGCAATTCCGGGAATTTCGGGACCCCCCGGGAATTTCGGGAATTCCGGGACCCCCCGGGAATTTTGGGGACCCCCCGGGAATTTCGGGAATTCTGGGAATTTCGGGACCCCCCCATGGAATTTTTACAGATTCCCCCCCAAAATTTCCCATTCCCACGGGAATTTTGGGACCCCCCTGGGATTTTGGGGCCGATTTGGGGATTTTGGGGTCAGTTTTGGCGGATTTCGGGTCAGATTTGGGGATTTTGGGTCAGATTTGGGGATTTTGGGTCAGATTTGGGGGATTTTGGGTCAGATTTGGGGGATTTTGGGTCAGTTTTGGCAGATTTTGGGTCAGATTTGGCTGATTTTGGGTCACATTTGGCAGATTTTGGGTCAGATTTGGCTGATTTCGGGGCTGTGCCAATTTTGGGCTGGATCCGGGGCATTTTGGGCTGGATTTGGGGGATTTTGGGTCAGATTTGGGGGATTTTGGGTCAGATTTGGCGGATTTTGGGTCAGATTTGGGGGATTTTGGGTCAGATTTGGCGGATTTTGGGTCAGATTTGGCCGATTTTGGGTCAGATTTGGCTGATTTTGGGTCAGATTTGGCCGATTTTGGGTCAGTTTTGGGGCATTTCGGGGCTCACCACGTGCAGGATGGTGGGGTTGCAGCCGATGATGAAGGGAAGGTTCCGGAAGCCCTGGATGCGGTGGGCGATGCGCACGGGCAGCTCCTGCTGCAGGTACCGGGCGCTTTTCTGCCCCAAAAAAACACGATTTTGGGCAAATCCCCAAATTCTCTCACCCCCCTCACAATTTCCAGCATTTTGGGAAAATCCCCCCCTCCCCCAGCTCTGTTTTCCCACCCGGATTTTGGGGTTTTTTCCCCCGATTTCTGCAAATTCCCAAATTCTGGAGGTTTCACCCCAAATTTTTCACTCCCTTCCCGGCGATTCCAAATTTTTTTTGGGGTCCTGCCCTGAAAATTCCTCCCAAACGGCGAAATTTTGGGGATGTGAACGCTCAAAACCTTCCCAAACCCTCGGGTTTTGGGGAAAAAACCTCAAATTTTGGGAAAAACCCCCGAACTTTGAGGAAAAAAACCCAAGTTTTACGAAAAAACACCCAAAATTTTAAGGAAAAAAACCCAAATTTTAGGAAAAACCCCAAACTTTGAGGAAAAAACCCCAAATTTTGGGAAAAAACCCCAAATTTTTAAGGAAAAAACCCCAAATTTTGGGAAAAACCCCAAACTTTGAGGAAAAAACCCCAAATATTGGGGAAAACCCCTGAACTTTGAGGAAAAAACACCAAATTTTAGGAAAAAAACCCCAAACTTTGAGAGAAATCCCCAAATTTTGGGAAAAATCCCCAAACTTTGAGGAAAAAACCCAAATTTTTTGCTGAAAATCCCCAAATTTTGATGAAAACCCCCAAATTTTAGGAAAAAACTTTCAGGTTTTGAGAAAAACTTCTCAAATTTCGGATAAAAACCCCAAATTTTGGGGATAAAACCCTCAATTTTGGGGCTAAAATCCTTGAATTTTTGGGAAAAACACCCGGATTTTTAAGGAAAAAACCTCCAATTTTGGGGAAATTCTCCCGGATTTTGGGGTCCCTCACCAGGATGTGGCTGCCGTCCTGCGAGCGCCCCGAGTACAGCATGGTGGTGGGGGTCAGGCGCACCGAGGGCTGCGTTTTGGGGGGAAAAAAGGAGATTTTGGGATCTTCTGGGATTGGGGGGGAAGCGCCCTCGAATTGCCCTGGAAATGCCGCCCAGAACGGCCCCAAAATCCCCCCAAAGTGACCCAAAATCAGCCCAGAACGGCCCCAAAATCCCGCCCAGAACGGCCCCAAAATCCCCCCAAACTGCCCCAAAATCAGCCCCAAAATCCCCCCAAACTGCCCCAAAATCCCGCCCAGAACGGCCCCAAAATCAGCCTCAAAATCCCCCCAAACAGCCCCAAAATTCACCCCAAAACCCCCAAAATCCACCCTAAAAATCCCCCAAAATGGCCCCAAAATCCCCCCAAAATCACCCAAAATCCCGGGGAATT